TGTTATCTGAAGAAATGATAGAACCATTAAAGGAATTGTTTAATAGTATTTTGTTGGGTAAAGAGGTACCTCCTTCTTGGAGAACTGCTTTTATATCTTTAATACCAAAGGAGGGTCAGGATTTGACTCAACCTAAGAATTATAGACCTATATCTTTATTGAATACAGATTATAAGATTTTTTCAAAAGTATTGGCAAACAGATTAATGCAAGTGTTGAGCCAATTGATTCATAGTGATCAATCTGGATTTATAACTGGAAGATATATGAAGTATAATGTAAGACAAATTATTAATTTAATTGAATATTTGGATAAGAATAATCAAATTCCTGCTGCTTTTATATTTTTAGATGCTGAAAAAGCATTTGATCAATTAGATTGGGGTTTTTTGTTTCAAGTTATAGACAGAATGAATTTTGGGGAAAACTTTTTGTCCGCCCTTAAGGCTATTTATCAACAGCAATCAGCACAGATTATAGTTAATGGGGGGGGGGGGGTAACAGAAGCATTTAAAATTGAAAAAGGAACCAGACAAGGATGTCCATTATCTCCATTGTTATTTGTGTTAACAATGGAGATCTTGTTAATTAAAATTCGTGAGTCTTCTATAATAAAAGGAATTAAGGTTAATAAGATTGATTATAGATTAAGAGCTTTTGCAGATGACTTAGTGTTAACATTAACTCAGCCAATAGACTCGGTAATTGACTTGGTTGAAATTATTGCACAATATGGGAAAGTTTCTGGTTTTAAGGTTAATTGTAATAAGACTAAAATATTACCTAAAAATATGTCTATGAATGATAAAGATATGTTAGTTACGCTCACAGGTTTTGAAATGGTTAAAAAGGTAAAATATTTGGGAGTTTATATTACAGCTTCTAATGTTAAATTGTATAAGAATAATTATGAATCTTTATGGGTTAAGGTCCAAAAGGATTTAAGTGATTGGAAAAAATTGCAATTATCTTTGTTGGGGAGAATTTCAGCAGTAAAAATGAATGTCCTTCCTAAATTTCTTTTCTTGTTTCAAATGATCCCTATTTTAAAAAAAGATGCTAATTTGGAGGATTGGCAAAAGGGTATTAACAAGTTTATCTGGGCGGGCAAGAAACCAAGAGTTAGGTTTAAGATTATGCAAGATATAACAGAACGAGGAGGACTTAAAGTCCCCAATTTAAAATTGTATTATGATGCGGTGGTTTTGACATGGATTAGCGATTGGCTAAATTTAACAAATAGAAATATACTTTCTCTTCAAGGATGGGATTTGTTATTTGGTTGGCAGGCATATTTAATTTATGATAAAAAGGTAGATAAAAATTTTAAGGTTCATATTTTAAGAAGTGCTTTATTACGAGTTTGAAAGAAATATTATTATAAATTAAATTATAAAACTCCTATCTGGGCAATTCCAGGACAGGTAATAGAGGGGATATCTAGGGGAGTTAATTTGGATAAAGTTTCTTATAAGGAACTACTTTGTCTGGTAGGACGAGATTGGCAACTTAAATCTTTAGTAGATTTGAAACAAGAAAACATTGAATATTCTTGGTTTTATTATAACCAATTGTTAATGAGGTGGCGTTTGGATCAAAAAGTTGGTATTACTTTATAGGATGTAAATTTGATGAAACAGATTAAAGATCAATCTCAAGCTCATATTAAAAGAATTTATAACGCATTGATTGAATTGGATTCAGAAACAGAATTGGTTAAGGATTGCATGATAAAATGGGCTCAAAATATACAAGAACCAATCTTACTGGAAACATGGGAGACAATTTGGATTAGAAATGTAAAATTTACTCAAGCTCAAAATTTAAGGGAAAATTTTTATAAAATGTTTTATAGGTGGCATTTGGATCCTCAAAAATTGTCCTGCATGTATCCTAATTTACAACCTAAGAGTTGGAGATGTGGAAACTTAGATGCAACCTATTTTCATATGTGGTGGACATGCAGGGAAGTAAAGGCATTTTGGATTAAGATATGGTGGAATATTCAAAATATTTTTAAGAAAAAGATAAAGTTTAAGCCGCAGATATTTTTGCTGGGTATTATGGAAGATTTGGATAAAAAAGAAATGGATTTGATGTTGAATTTGATAATTGCTGCAAGACTACTAGAAGCTCAATGTTGGAAAACGGAACGTTTGCCCACTATAGAAGAATGGTCACTTAACGTCTCAAATTTAGCAGAAATGGCCAAGATTTCTGCTTATGTGAAGGATTATTCACAAGAAAGATATATTTCGGTTTGGAGAAGATGGATAGATTATATTGAGAGTAAATATGGTACTAAAAAATTTCACTTGGTTTTTGAGTAAATTTTAGAGTATTAATGTAGTTTATATATTATAATAGGTCACTTATTTTTACTTATAATTATTAATATGATGTTATAATTATTGTGTTTAATATTAGTATATTTGTTTAAAAGAGAGTTAAAGGATGTTACAGATTTGTTAATCTAGTAGTTGATTAATGTTAGATAGAGTATGGTTACTGTATTGTTAACCCTGTG